AACTTTTGAACTTGTAACTGTAAGTTAAGGACTGTCTGTCCTTAACTTTTGAACTTGTAAGTCAAAGTTAAGGACCTATTATCCTTAACTATTGAACTTGTAACTGTAAGTTAAGAACTGTTTGTCCTTAACTTTTGAACTTGAAAATCAAAGTTAAGGACCTATTGTCCGTAACTTTTGAACTTGTAACTGTAAGTTAAGGACTGTCTGTCCTTAACTTTTGAACTTGTAACTATAAATTAAGAACTGCATGTCCTTAACTTTAGAACTTGTAACTGTAAGTTAAGGACTGCCTGTCCTTAACTTTTGAACTTGGAACTCGAAGTTCAGGACCACATGTCCTTAAGTTCTGTGTTTGTAACTCTAAGTTAAGGAGCACTTGTCCTTAACTTTTGAACTTGTAAGTCTAAGTTCAGGACCTATTGTCCTTAACTTTTGAGTTTGTTAATCTAAGTTCAGAACCAATTTTCCTTAACTTTTGAACTTGTAACTGTAAGTTTAGGATCCATAGCGTAGCAGAAAACAAAAATTTATTTGTATCTTTTCACAATAAATAATAATAATAATAATAATAATTGCAATTTACATATAAGATTGATGTCAAATTATACAACAGAAAGCTAATAACAAAAAGAAACAACTAAAAAAATAAAAGACTACAGAATCTAACCATTTAAAAGAAAAATAAAAATAAATAAAACTCGGAAAGTTTTCTAAAGTTTTGTGTTCTAGTTTCCTGCTAAAATCCTGAAGAGTTCTTCTTTGTTCCACATCAGGATGTCAAGACTTATTTTGTCAAATAGTTGGCAATACATTTGATCGACCTGCTAACTGCCGAAAGATTTGAGGATTAGAAGAAGTATTGAAAAAGAAGAACAAGTGGCGATGGAAAATATTCTTGGCGGAACAGATCAGCTAGGGTTTGGGAAGGAAAAGAGATAGAAGAAGGGTAACACCGTCTTTTCATATTATTTTTAGTAGATTAGTGGCTACTTTTGTTCAGCAATAAAATTGCTGGATAAAAAGTAAATACCACTTAAAAAAGTGGCTACCTCACGCAATTTTTACCAATAGTCTCCCCATTGAGCTAAGGTTCACATGTCCTATTATCATTTATGGGCCAATTTGGAGATTCACTATATGCCACCCACATGATATTGAGTATTTACGTACGTTCTCCGAAGCCCAAAAGGTTGTGTATGCGCCTTTAAAGCTACGAGTAAAGGTCGGAAACTCCGTAGATGGGCAAAAGCACTAAGTCGGCCCCCCACGCCACACTCTGCCATCTCTATAGTCCCTCCAAGCCATTGGCTCTAAACCAATTGTTAGGATAAAACAATCCAAAAATATTTTTAATATACTGTGATATTATCCTCTTTGGACCAAACCCATACGGCTTTTCCCAAAAAGTTTCACACTATTAAGAGTAACCAATTACACCTTATTGTAGTTTTTTTTTTAACTTTTCATGTGTGACTTTGCTCACACACACCCAACATAAAGCACATAGAGAAGTCGCAAAAAATGAACGCAAACCAGGAGCGGCCCTTCCATAAAGCAAGTAAAGCAACCGCTTTAGGCCTCATATTTGTGGGGGTCCTATTTTTTGTTACACCTACTATGTATAAGTTTAAAAAAGACTTCTGTAAAATAAAAAAGTTTGATTTCTTTCTTTAACAAATATAGAGAAAAAGAATTTGCAACTGCTATGATTTCTACCAAGGAAATTGCACTTGAAATGAATATCGAACTCAAATTTCATAAGAAACGTGTGATATATAAGAAGTAACAATTTGATGCGAATATTGATAATGAAATATCAAAATCTTTCAAAGAGTCCCTTAGAGTTGATTACTTTTATACATAATAGACAAGACTATTTTTTCACTTCAAAATAGATTTGAACAATTCGAAGCATATGAAAATATTTTTGATTTTCTATTTTGGCAATAAAAACTAAGATCACTAGATGTTGGAAATTTGAAAAAATATTGCCTTAATCTTGAATGTTCCCTAAAGCATAATAATCAATTCGATACTGATGGTTTAGATTTATTTTCCGAATTAAAAGTATTAAGAAAAATAGTACAATTAGAAGATAACAGTCTAATTGATACACTTAATCAAATAAAAAGATTTAATTTTTTCCAAATGCCTAAATTGCTTATGGAATAATGTTCATAACTCATGTTACCGTTGCTTCAGCGGAAAAAGTTTTCAAAACTAAAGTTGATAAAATCTTACCTAAGAATAATAATGTCACAAGAAAGGTTAAATGGTTTAGCTATATTGTAAATTGAGAAATGCTTATTAGGAGTTATTGATTATAAGAAAATTATTAATGACTTTGTATCTAAGAAAAGCTAAAAATATATATAGACTTCAAATAAATAAAATAAAATAATTAAAAAAGTTAAGGCCCCTCATAAAGTTTGGCTTTAGGCCACAAAATTCGTCGGGCCGCCCCTGACGCAAACGGGACTTGTGTGTGGCGACTTCCGTTTTGAAGTAGTTTGGTTTAAACAAGTCACTCGTTATAACACAAAGATAGTAATGCATGAATTTGTAATACATGAATTAAACTGTAGAGATTATTTTTTATTGGGCATATTTATTTCTGATTAATTTTTGGTTTTCTAAAGTGTCAAGCTACGGTTAGGAATAAACTTAAAGTTTGTAGTATGCTATTTATTTCATCCTTAAGTAAATAGCCATGGACCATTTTATTTACATCTCAATTAGCTCCATTCTTTATTAGAAATTAAATGTCTCTCTTTATGATATAGTTAAATCCAATGATTTTCAATAGGATAAGCTGTTGAACCTAAATAAATAAATAAAAATAGGATAAGCCGCTGTTGCTTAGGCTTAAACTAGTGTTGCCAAAATTTAGTGTGTTCTATTTCTAAGAAGTAATCACCATAGCTAGCCGCGTTTTTGTTGATTTACTTGAATTGGAGGACGGAAGAACCAGCATGCTATGACTTTAGAGTGTATCTTATTTAATTGGAAAAGGAGATGTCACGACCCGGATTTCCTATCATTTGGAGTTGTGATGGCGCCTATTAGTGAAAGCTAGGCAAGCCGGCCATTTGAATTATTTACCTTTTTCCCAATTTTAATCCTTTAACAATTTAAGAACCAACATTATATAATCAGCGGAATTTAATAAGCGAAAGACTGATATGTAATATTTTAATAAAGATGTCAGTACCAATTCATACATACACTACCCAAGACTGGTGTCACAATTTCACAGACTATCTAAGAGTTCTACAAACAAGGTCCGAAAGATTTATTATAACATTGTCTCTGAAATGTATAAAAGAAACAGAATGAAAGGATAGAAGGAGACGTCAAGGCCTGCAGACGCCTGCAACCTCGAATCTCCGAATGGATTGAAGGCAGCCACCCAAAGCTAAGGTCTGTAAGCTCCAGTACCGGGATTTGCATGTGTGCAGATACTGATATCGGAGCGTTTGGACCGCAGTGAGGGTGCTGTCTTCAGTCCACTTAGGCGACCCGAGGTAGTCCTGCAGACGTCCGCGGGTCTTGGCGTCTCCTCCTATCACTTCTCTTTCTGTTTTTACTTATTCAGAGACAGATTTGTGTATTTTCATTCAGACCTTATTTGTAGTATTCTTAGATAGTCCGTGACTCGTGATACCAAATTCTGGGTAGTATTGTATTTCATATTATGTAGCAAATGTTCGGTTAATGATTAAGTTTTTGTCTTCCGCATTTCTGGTTATTTAGTTTATTCCGCTGTTTAAATCACTTATTACTTTGAATTAATATGCTTAATAAAAAGGGTAATGAATTTATAATACTCGGCTTGCCTAGCTTTCATGAGTAGGCGCCATCATGACTTTCGAGGGTGGAAAATCCATGTCGTGACAGGAGACAAGACTATTTATCAATAGACTATTTATCAATATGTTAGATTAACTAGGGAGGACGGAGCTAGACTAGATGGTTAATTAGAAGAAATCAAATAGTATAATTTTCTGCACCAGTTCTGAACTATGCAAAGTCGCTAAACTTTCTGGTCAAATAATCAAGAAATTGTCCTTATAAATAAGATCTCTTTGTAAACAATATTGGTCACCCATCTAAACGCTGTTTATAACTTTCGTTAGTCATGCAACCCATAGCTTTCTCTCAATTCACCATTCAATCGATTGCATGGATGTCACCTCAACCCATAACCACCATCCTCCGTCGCAAAACCACCTCATTACGGAGGTTACAGCCGATCTTCGCAGTGGCTTCACCCGCACATCACCAGACTACTCACTCAATGCCACCAGAAAAACTGGAAATCTTCAAGTCTATAGAATCTTGGGTTTCCGAAAGCGTTCTCCCTCTTCTCAAGCCCGTAGAGAAATGCTGGCAGCCCAGTGAGTTTCTCCCTAACAAATCTCAAGGGCCCGAACAATTCGCCGAAGAGGTTCGGGCCCTAAGACAACGAGTTTTAGGGCTTTCTGACGAGTACCACTACTAAAAATCACCTGTTTACCGATGCAATTTATCGACGGATGTCCGTCAGTAACAAGGCTTTACCGACGGAAACTCATCGGTAAGTGGTTGGTAGGTAAATCCTTCCTCGTTAAAATATACCGACGGACCCCATCGGAAAGTCATCGGTCAAATAATTTTACTTACCGATGGATATCTGTCGGTATATTATAAAATAATATAATAATATCAATACCGACGAATATCCGACGATAAATTACCGACGGACACCATCCTTAAGTTTAGAATTTTAATTTAGTAATATAAAAATTAAAAATATGAATAAATTCATGTTCCGATGGCTATCCGTCGGTATTTTCAACAAAATCTGAAAATTTGGTTCAAGAATATCGACGGACTCTGTCGGTAAGTCCCTCGGTAAATCTGGTACATTTTTGGCAGGCAAGGCCTATTTTTTGTTGCACCACCTGCCAGCAGAATATTACAATACAAACTAAAATGCAACCACAATAAAACTCAACTTAACAACAAAAAAAACTTTATAAACTATATCTAGACATCCAAATTATCCCATCAAACATCCAAATATCCAAATTATCCTATCAATCATCAAAATTATCTAACCAAACATCAAAATGTAACATTCAAAGTTAACATCCAACTAAACAACATCCAGCCAAACATAAAATCACTCATCTTTGGATTCCCCCTCATCTTCTTCATCATTTGTATTATTTCCATCACTTTCATCCTCTTCCTAAATGTGGATTTTTGGTGGAGAGCGGGGCAAGCCGATTAAGTGATTCACTTGAGCCTTGAGGGACTCGATGTCATTCCTAAGCGAATCTCTATTCTTCTCTTCATGCTTCCGCACAATTCCTAGAAAGTTGTTGAATTGTTCGCTGCATCTCCTCAAGGTCCTCATTTTGCATGGTGGCGGATGTCCCAATACCTTGTAATCCCCAAAAGAGAAGTGAAAAAAATACACGAAGAGTTAGAATTGAATAATTCAACACCTAACTTCATAAACTTCAACTAGGTAAATATAAACTTCAAAAGGCAACAGCAAAAGAAGATGTTTACAGCTTTGAAATTGTTTTACTGGAGCTTCTAACTGGGAGAAAGCCAACAGATGAATCATTTTTGGAGGAAGGAACCAAGCTTGTAACCTCGGTAAACTTTTAGTTCACTTTTTTTCCTTTTACATGCTAGCTGACTTTACTCCTTTTACATAGGAATATTTCAAAGTATTTACACTCTCAGAATTGTAATGTACAATGTGCTTATCAGTGAGGTGCAAATAGCTAAAGTGGACATAAGCCTCTGAACTTAATAGGGAAACAAAAATTCCCAAGTCAAACCTCAATTTTTCTCAAACAATCTTATGTCACTTGACTCACTTGACAAGGCACCAGTTGAACAAAAAAACTTACAGATTAAGTTTTCTAACCTTTTATTCTTATGGTGATTAATGATTAGTGAGGCATTAGAGAAAATAGAAGAACCATATGCAAAGGAGCATGTCAAGACCGACTAGAAGCCTTTTACCAAGAAATAATTTCGAATCCACCTACAATTTGTGATAATATTCAAACTGGACCTAATGCTCCACTAAAGCATGTTACTTGTGCCAAAAGAAGATCACTGAATGAGAGGACCAGAGAAATAGGGAAGAGAAACCATGCAATAGCCTCAACCTCCCATTTGAACAAGACTAACAACTAGTCTTAGCAAAAATGAAACCTTGTTGAATTTAAACCTTAATGTGGACCTTGGACTTGGAACGCGATGTTATTATGTCTTTGAGGATAAAGAAAGAATGTAGGGAACTTAAAAGAACCAGCCAAGACCAACACCACAAAAGATATAATAATCAAAATGTCATGTTGTTTTTCTTTTTATCTAATCACCAAAAGTTTATGTTGTCATCATCTGCTTAAAAATTTCAATAATTCAAATAGAAGATTAAGGATATCTATTAAGGGTTCTTACAGAAGACTTAAAACATTTAGTTGGAAAGGATAGCCTATAAAGTAGTATTTGCAAGCCTTAGAATTTCTTAACAAAAAGAAGAGCTTATTTACCAAAAAAGTATATACCTTGTAGTCCTCTAGTTTCAACCATTTTCTGCACTTGCATTTCGCATAAGGGTACCTAATCATCTCCTTATTTTGGCTAAATGACTTAGCATGATTAATAAACTCATCAACACCTTGTACAAATTCATTTCTTAAACTCCGCCGATTAGAAAGATTCTTATCGTACATCCACATACGATATTCCATCTACATATACAAACAACAAATTTATTATTCTTACTCATTTAATTTTATAACAATTACAACATAAGAAACATAGTTATTCTAAGCTAAATAGAAGACTGTTGAATGGATTTATCATGTCATGATTGTAAAGTAAAGGGAAACGGGATATGAGGAGCTTGGAGAATATGTAGTCCAAGGCAAAAAGCTATTTTTACTATGAAATCTAGAAAAAGGAACAGCTATCACAGAATTTCCATCTAAAACTTATCTTGTGAAGGAGAAGCACAAAACAGCTCGTGTACAGTGTACACTTCTCCAAGGAGAGAACAATAAGTTACTTTCTTTACCAAGCAAAATATTAAAGAAAGATATGTATGAAAAGACAAATTATCATAAATTGCAACAAGATAGAGTAGAGATAGACGTCTGGTCAGGAAAAACATAGTCGAAGAAAAATAGCGTACCACTTCCACAAACAGAGAAATATCTCATAATTAATTCTACTATTACTATATTAATGTCACGATCCGGATTTTCCCACCATCGGGAGTCGTGATGGCGCTTACTAACGAAGCTAGGCCAACCAAACTTTAAACATTCTCTGATAACTTCTCAACAATTACCATATACGAAAGCAATTAAATAAAAAAAACGGAAGACTTTAAGTTTATAAAACTGAAATTCAAATGCGGAAGTTTAAGACAAATCTCAACCCAAAATCTGGTGTCACTAACTCACGGACTGCTAAAGAGTGCTACAAACAAGTCTGAATGGAAATACAAAATATCTGTCTCGGTACAATGAAGACAAACTAAATAAGGAGAAGGACTTCGGCTTGTGAACGTCAGCTAGGCTACCTTGAAGTCTCTCGACTGAAGTCAGCTCCCGATCAATACGCTACTGCTGCGTTCCTAAAGCT